TATTCTTGTGTCTCCAAATGACCAATCATATTTTGTTCTCTCTTGTCTCATCCTCATCCATCCATTCATATCACCAAACAGAATAATTTTTGTCCCCAGTTCGTATTTATTTAAAACGTTGCACTTTATTTCCCAAAAATTCATCTTTAGTTCTTTCATTAATACTGTTCACTGGAGCTTAACATGTAACGATTACCACATACTCCCAATAATCTTGACTCCAATTTATACTTTCTGGAATATATTTATTCCCTTCATTTCTAATTAAACCCATACCTGTAGGAGAAGGGGTGGCAGAACCTGAAGGCGAAGTCAAAAGAGGAATCAGCCTAGAGTCTCTACATGGCCATAAACAGACTAAGTTCATCCACTTTTGAATTCCATTGACCTTTATCTAGCATCAAAATAGAGCTAGCAGTTAATTGAATAGATCCCTTTTCATAAGCATAAGTAATAATAAATGAGTTTCATTGCAACTCCACATGTGGTCCTGGTCTTTCATGTCTGACAATACCCTTCAATTTCTTACATATATTCATGAACTTCACTCCACAAGATCAGATCACTTTCATTCGGATCTGTTGTATTCTACTTTTAATTTCACAAACAGGCAACATATCTTTTTCTTTCTTTCTTTCTTTCAGTCATTTCATTTCATTATAAGCTCTTATAAGGTACTATTCTTGCATTCCAAGTCACAGTCTTCCATATGCTATGATATTCCTATTTATTTATTAATTAATTTTAATTGCTTTATATCATCTTTTTATCATTTTTTCTAAGCCACCCAGAGTTGCTTCAACAGTGAAACGGGCAGCATATTAAAATAAATAAATAAATAAAACATTACCTTCACATCAGGTCTGTAGGTATTGACCTATATTCCCTTTCGTGACTTTGACCAACTTTTGCACATAATTTTTTTTTAGTAATACAAGTAAGAAATAAAGTGGGTTACCAGCCTTAGTTCTACCTATGCCACATGCTGCATTGGATGCAATTTTTGGCACGTTTTAGCTTGTATACAACAAGCAGAACCCCAAGCCCCTGATACATGCTGTTCTGCGCAAGCTAGGAAATGTCAACTAGATCCTATCTTATAAACGACCATATTGTTGCCATATCTCAACAACTAGGACAGTGATGGCGAACCTTTTAGAGACTGAGTGCCCAAAAACTGGCCCCACCCTGCCCCTGCCCTGCCCACCTCCACTCTGCCCCTGCCCCGCCCCACCCAGCCAGCCACCCACCATCTCCATGGCCCGCCGCAGATCGCCCAGGCAGCCCAGCAGCTCCATGGCAGCCATGCCCTCCGTCCGCACCCCACAGCATCATCTGTATGTGGTGGGGCACGAGGGCGGAGTCTTGTCTCCGCTGCCTGGCCGCCATATCCTTGGCTGCGCTGCTCTGTGCGGGCCGCGCTTGGGGGTGAATCTCCTCCAGGGGGCTGCTGGTGAGGAGGGGGGCATGGGGGGAGGTGGGGTTGGGGCGACGGCACGGGTGCCCACAGAGAGGGCTCTGAGTGCCGCTTCTGGCACGCGTGCCATAAGTTCGCCACCACTGAACTAGGACAATGATGGCAAACCATGCCATCATGGCATATCAAAAATACAGAGAATGCCCAACTTGAGTCTGCTGGCATGTCACATACACACTTATACAGTACACACCCACACACCCTGCACCTGACCAAAGAGAAACAATTCATAACAAAATAATTATTTAAATTGATTATGTAATAAATAAATAAATAAATACTTACATAATCATAAATATTTTTCAGAAAGCCTACCTGAGGCAGCTCTGTGTTGCACAAGGGTTGAAAACTTTGCAGAAGGTTCTTGCATGGCTTGGCAGCCTCTGAAAAGTATGGGAAAGCATGCCGCCTTCTCACATGATTTTCAGGCCACATAAGGGGTTCAGGAGGCCTGATGTGTCACTAAAAATGACACGTATCACCACATAGGCTCACCATCACTGAACTGGGAAGTGCATGTTTTGTATTGACACACTCAGGGTAGATTTTCTTATAATCTCACTCAGCTGATATTGGGTTTTTTTCCAGTTGGGATTTTTGATTGGATAAATAGTTATCACATTAATCGGTATATCGTTTGAAATTATGAAGATAGTTAAATACATTTATCTCAACTGAGAGTCCCAAATTCTTGAATCCCTTAATGTAATACTTCCTTGAAAAATGCACTAAAGCATTCTCACTCAAAGGTTATCTGAAAGCAGATATTCATATTGACATACAATTTCCCATTTTGTTCTGTAGGTATGGTTTTGTATGTATGGTTTCCTGTTAGGAAAAAAAACCTGATACAAAGATGAACATCTTTGAACTGAAAGAATCTGTGCTTGACAGGATAGCATGGAGAGCATTTGCCTATAATGTCGCCAAGAGTCGGACACGAATGTTAAAACAAGAACAATTAGAAAAAAATGGAAGTCGGTGTTTTTTCTGAAATCAAACAATCCATGGGTATCTTGCAAGTGTGAAATAATAAATGCAACTAGAAAGAAAAAAAAATAACAGATATCATTGAGGTGTAGTGATTAAGAACCAGAAACTAGGAGATTGTGAGTTCTAGTTTCTGCCTTAGATATAAAGCAAATTGTGTGACCTTGGACCAGTCACTGTCTCGCAGCCCCAGGAATGAGGCAATGGCAAGCTACTTCTGAAGAAACTTTGCCAAGAAAACTGCAGAAACTAGCCCAGACAGTCACCAGGAGACAAGATTGACTGGAAGGCATTTTAAAAAATGGGGTTGTCCTATCAATTCCTTTTGCCTGTTATTGTTATTAGATTTTTATCCTGCCCTTTTCAATATCTGGTCAACTCAAGGTAGCAACTATACCTAATTCTCCTGCCTCCTATTTTCCCCACAACAACAACCTTGTGAGGTAGATTGTGCTGAGACAGAATGACTGACCCAAAGTCACACTGCTGATTTCATGCCTAAGAAAGGCCTAGAACTCACTCACCTGGTTTCTAGGCCACCACCTTCATTGCTACACCAAACTGGCTCTGATATTGCTAGCATTTTTTTCTCACATGCATTAATATAAATTGAAGGTAGTTTATATCCGTGTTGGGATTTGGAGCCATGGATTTTCCATCAGGTTAATGATGTAGACCAGTGGTGGCGAACCTATGGCACGCGTGCCAGAGGCGGCACTCGGAGCCCTCTCTGTGGGCACGCGCGCCATGCCCCGGAGATGGCAACCGTCCTCTTCAACCAGCCACCTGCTAACTTGCTGAGGTCCCACGTGGCCAGATGCATCCCAGCACCCATGCGCTTGCTGGCCTCTGTGTGCGGGGGCCGATGGTGTCAGGCAGCAGCCCTGGCCCCTGCCTTGCCATGCCCTGTGATATGGCACCTCCGCTCTGCCTTGCCTCACCCCGCAGAACCAGCCTCCTGCCCACCGCCCCACCCGCCAGAGATCCCTGGATTTTCCCCAACTCTGCCCAACCCCCACAGGCATCCCTCCCCAGGAGCAACATCGAGCTGGCCATGCCCATCCATCTGCCATGACCACTGTAGCCATGCCCACCCGGCGGCCACAGCCACCCAGCACCCGGCAATACATAAGTGGGGTTTGGGTTGAAGTTTGGGCACTTGGTCTCTTAAAGGTTCGCCATCACTGATGTAGACCACTAGTTTTAAAATAATTCTAAATCTAATCTAAAATAGAGTCACCTTTTTAAGCCATTTATTCCACTATGTAAGTAGTTCAACATGTATAACTTGAGTTAACCTATTATCAACTACATAAAAAGTAATTATGATTTCTTGGTGTTTCTATAAAGAAATTTCTGTGAGTAGTTGAGATGTTACATATTGTGAATTACTGAGTTGTGCTATCTTGCTGAGATGTGTTAGTCAGACTTTTTTTTTCAGAACCCAAAACATTTGCAATATAGGTGTACGGACAACAATGTGTGTTTTCCCAATAAAAGCAAAGAATAGCAACAAGACTCCAAATACTATACAATTACAATTGTAGCACTTTATTTTGATTGTAATTACTCAATAAATAACAGTGATTCAGGAAGTTTCATGTACAAATAAAGCCAGATAGACTGGGCATTTGTTTCAGAAAACAAAACACAATTTAATGTAATAAACATTAAACTTTGCTTATTATAGTTTGTGTCACTAACATGAGCTTTTGTAAAAGGCAGGCCTCACAAACTGATGAAGATTAGCAGAGAGGAAGAATGACAGGACATATTACTCTTACTAGAGATAAGGGATCCTACTATGAAAAGTGTTTTTTCTGCTATTTTTGATTCCCTTTAGTGATGCTTACAATCTTTCCAACATTATTAAAATGTAAGATTTGTATCCCCAAATTGTCCTTTGTGTTGCTGACACATTTGCCATGTCGTGGTGCTCAGATTTCTTCTACAATTTTTATTGGGAAAATTTGATTAGGAAGTTATTGCTAAGCATAAGATGATGATGGCAATGAATTTTATATCCTTCCAGTTCTTTACAGCTTGGAATCTAATGTGACTTTTTTCCATGGCGCCTGAAAAATCACTTGTAGCATGCAAATATCCCAAGACTCTCAAGGTCACATTTTACACCAGAAAGATGCACACCTCTAGATATTGTAATTGAGTTGTTCAAATTGGTAATTGACATTTTTAGTTCAGGTTAACTGAGAATGAAAAAAAAAACTGATTATATAAATAATGTCCTGGCAAACTGGCAGTGAAGATACAAAATGTGCACTCTACGCATTTCTCTTGAAATCTTCAAAGCACCATTGCTATAAGAATTGTTTTTATTTAAGAGACAATGAGGGCCAATGGAACAGGCTGTGTTTTGTGTTCACTTATTTTATAATTCAGCTAACGGTTCACCATCGTAGCTTTTATAAAAGGAGTAAGGGAGAAAAATAACAAGTTTAGTTAATGTTTTGTTTCAACTGAGCCATTTTCCCTGTGCAATAACTTTTTTACTCGCTGTCTAAATCTATTGCAGTCTGCCTGAATATTATGACTATGGTCATGGAACAAGTGAAGATGCCTATGACAGCTACGGTAAGGCTTGATCTATTTTTGGTAAATGTGTGAAATCAGAAAAGCAATCATTCAGTGACAAGCCAAAATTACTTGTACGTTCTCACTTCCTGTTTCCCCAGAGGGCAGGCTAAGCTGATTTATGTCATTCTGAAGTAAAATGTAACTTGTGGAATTGAGGTCACAAAAGCAAACAAATCATTTTTGATCAGAGGTTTGCAATGACGTTAATCATAGGGGTAGGATCAGTTTTCAAAAGCAATGGTGAAAATGCTGATTAATGTCCAAATCTATTGCACGGTGACAAGCATCAGTGATGTTACTGATGTAAATAGCAACTTTATATGTACCAGCTATCTCATATTCCTGTTCTCCGTAGGAAGCAAGATTTCATGGGCTAGGAGGCTACAGCAATATTTTCTATTGTTGTTGCACTGGTTACCATGTAAATATGGACTACTTTCCATTTGAGCAAGATCTTGCTTTAGCTATATATTTCAGATAAAGTGGCCCGCTGGTTCCCCAACTAGTTTTCCTAACGCTACAAAACTATTCACTCTTTAGAATTGATAACAGTCAGAGAGGGGTTCAATCCAGCTGAGATTAAATATTTTAAATTCAATTGATTTCATTAAAAAAAAGATTTAAGCATGAGCTTAATTCTCCCCTTAAAAATCATCACTTCAAGATAGTCTAAAGCAGGGGTAGGCAACCTTGGCTCTTTTATGACTTGTGGACTTCAACTCCCAGAATTCCTGGCTCAGGAATTCTGGGAGTTGAAGTCCACAAGTCATAAAAGAGCCAAGGTTGCCTACCTCTGGTCTAAAGCAATTCCTACACTGTCACTTTTTCCTTCCTTCCTGCAGCAAAGCTCTGCTTTCAGAGTAGTAAGGATTATGAAGGCTTCTACCACCCTTAAGAGTAGGTTTCTGAGGTGAATTTCATTTTCTCTGAGCTTGAGATTTTGCTCCAGTCTCAGCAGGGGTGATGTGCAGTTACTCCTGCTTTCCCAACTATGACAGGATTATTGCAGCTTTAAAGTTCTTAACTTTGAATAGTTTGCATGTTTCTGAGGTTGGGAAAAAAAATCCATGCAACATATTGCCAGTGAAAATGCATTTTTATCTAGATAATATCTGACCTCAAAATATTTCCTATGCTTTAGAACAGTGATGGCGAACCTTTTAGAGACTGAGTGCCCAAACTGCAACCCAAAACCCACTTATGCATCGTCGAGTGCCGGGTGGGTGTGGCCCATTGGCTGGGTGTGACCAATTGGGTGGGCGTGGCCCATTGGGTGGACGTGGCTGCGGTGGTAACGGCAGACTGGGTGGGGCTAAAAAGTTCAATCAATCAATTCCAACTTTGCAAGATCTTTTTTTTTCCCGTGAGAAGTTGAAATTGACTGATTGAACCTTTTTTTTTTTTTTTTTGCACACGGCGGCGGAGGCCTAAAGCGAAAAAGTTTTATAAAACCCAGCTGAAGGCCTAGGACTCGGGCAACGGCGTGCATGCCCACAGAGAGGGCTCTGAGTGCCGCCTCTGGCACCCGTGCCATAGGTTCGCCACCACTGCTTTAGAACCTGTAAATTACTTTAATTTTAGCTAACTCTTCATCATTATGCAGTAATACTTTGTCCATGGAATTTTTGTTAAAGAGCCAGGAGGAATACCTTTGGTTTTGTTCTGTTGGAATCTTCTTAAAATATTGCAAGTGAGTCCAGGAAAGCAGGCGAATAAACTACCTATGAAAATAAACAGAACAAGGCAAATGATGCTCAAATATTCCTGTAGGTTGACAGTTTCAAAAATAATTACATTTGTTGGAGTGCTGAGCGTGTATGTGTCCTATGTAAAGTTTTATTTCTTTCACACTTGACTTAAAATCGTGATTTCCTAATAGATCAATGTCAACAAAGATACCAGCAAATGAGAAATGGCATTTCTTCCACATGTAATATCAAATGTATCTGTAAAGCCACAATGACAAGGAACTATAATTGAACTTCTGAGTCCACTGGGCATTTTTTTTTCATGAACTCTTTCTACTTTCCATGTCTTGTGATGCCCTCTGTCTAATTTGATTCAGTTTATCCTCCTGTCCTTGCCTTTCTTTCTCTTGTATACAGTACAACTGAGGTCCCTTTCAGTAACTAAGTAGATAAGGTGGTGTGCAATCTGTGGCTGGTCAAGTTGCAATCCCAACATCCCAACAATTTTGCTTTTGCAATGTTCTTAATTTTGCATCTGGTTAGGACCTAGGAAGAGGGCCTTTTCTCCCCTGGAGACTGCTTTTTGGAGACTCTCCCCCCCCCCAAAAAAAATCAGACTGGACCTTCACAAAGCCTTAAAAACTTGTCTCCGCCATCAACCCTTGGGTCCTGGTAGTGTGGAGGGGGGGCATTTCTTGGATATATTGATAGTAGGATGTTGTGATTGTTTTCAGCTGCTAGTTTATAATTGTTTATGTTTTTAATTCTTGATTATGTTTTAATCCTTATTTTTTTGTAATTATTAACCACCAGCATCATGTATATGAGATCGGCAGACATATAAATTTATTAAATAAATAAATGGGCCATGGCTATTCCTCTTTCTCGCAAAGCTGTTGTGTGATACCTCAGATATTTTTGCATTAGTAAGATCAATAATAACTGGTGAATGGTGCCTCAAATCAATAGAAGTTTTGAGACGGAAGTATCCAGACTTTTCCTGGCTTGTGTATAGACAAATTCAAGAGAGATGGCGAATTGATAAAAAAACTGCTTTTTTTATGGAAAATGGGAATTTTTTGAAACAAGTAAGGGATGATGTTAAAGGACATATTAGAAGGATATATAATGTTTTATTAGAA